GAAAAGGGAATTATCATTTCGGAAGCTTTAAGTTGGAAGAATTGACTAAGGTTAGATTTTTGAGTAAACAACCCCGGAATCGGGATTTGAAGGTGCCAGCAGGTTCATATGATGATTTCGCACATGGGCGGATGTTCGGATTGAGTTTTGGATTACCCGGGAGCGTTTCGACGTCTATTGTGAAAGTTGGTATTTTGGAAGAAAATCATAAATTTGGGTTGAAGTGCATTTCAATGTTATCGATGTCCGTTTGGGATTCCGAGTTTAGGAATAACTCCGTATGGTGATTCTGGTATTGGGAGCGCGCCCGGATGTCACGACCCAAAATCCAATAAAGGTCGTGATGGCGTCGGATACCACTATCAGACAAGCCAATACCAAGAAGTTAATTAAATCCTCATTTTTAGTATTTTGAAATCATTTCTTTCCTTACATTAAACAATAAATAATGAACTTCATTGAGTAAATAATGACGTCTTAAACATATTTAAATACTAAATAGTCCCATAGTCATTCCAAAACCCGGTGTCACAAATGCATGAGCAATTTTTAGGAAATAAAAATATAATACAATAACTGTCCGGAATACAGATTGGACAGAAAATAAAATACAATACTCTGAAGGAGACTCTGTTGGCCCCGACCGTCTCGAGAAATGCAGCTCACCTAAGTCTCCTTATCAACCATGCCGCTGCGCCCAACGAGGCCACTAGACATACGTGTGCCTATGCAACAAAAATGCACAACAAGTGTAATATGAGTATGAAAACAACGCGTACCTAGTAAGTATCCCTTCTAACCTCGAAGAAGTAGTGACGAGAGGTCGACTCCGACACTTACTAGTGGTCCAACAGTAATGTACTAATAATATAATTAGTCATGGATTTCATTAAAAATAGCTGTAAACTTAAGGAAATTATGAAACAATTAAAAATTCCTTTTGATAATAAGGGATTCCTAAATTTATTTTCATCACTTAACAATTTATCTCATGCCAAGGAGGTAATATCATTATCCATAAATTTGCAAGGCAAGCAATACAAACATGCGCAAATTGTACCGAGGTCGTACGGCCCAATCCAACAATATTTAAACTGTGCACTGTCAGAGGGTCGAATGGAGCGAACCATAGATGCATCTATTTAATCTACTGAGGCGTTCGTCCCGTTCCACAAAAGATAAACATATTCAAACAGTCAATCAAGAATTCATCAAGGGACAATTATCCAAAGAAAAGGGCAAATTTCTCTTTTAAAAGTCAAGAAAATGATGTATAGCCTTTTAGAAATGTATTTACCAAGTTCGATATGATTAAGCCTTTTAAATCGTTAATAAAATTTCAAGTACGGCAAGTAAAGCATGCTTTTGGGTCCTAGACTACCCGGACATAAGCATAATAGTAGATACGCTCGGACTCCCGTCACCTCGTGCGTACGTCGCCCCCACAAATAGAAGCACATGTTTACTTATTTCACATATGGAGTTAATTCCCTCTTACACGGTTAGAAAGGAGATTTACCTCGCTCCGAAGTTCCATAACCGGCTTCCAAGCCCTTCCGATGACTCAAATCGATGCACAACGCCCCAAAACTAGCCAAACAATGCGCAAACCAATGAAAATACACTCTAATACTTATAACAATTCAATTTATAACAATTCTCAACTCCGCTCAGAAAGCCGATAAAATCACCTTCAGGCCCACGTACCCGAATTCCGAATATTTTTGGAAATAAACTTTACCCATAACCCCACGAGCTCAAATATATAATTTATTTCCAATTCCATGCCAAAATTCGTGGTAAAAATCTAAAATACTAAATTCTAGGTCTTCTACCAAAATCCCACAATTTATACTAATTTCCATGTTCCAATCCATGTATAATTCATATATTTAACTCACAAATGGGAAGAAACCACTTACCTAGAATTGCTTGATGAAAATCTCCCCTTGAAGCTCTCCAAAATCGTCCAAGCCAAATGAAGTATGGGAGAAAAATGAGCCAAGTCCCGTTTTTATAAAACCCTTCTGCCCAGCGACACTTCCGTACCTGCGGCTTCGCAGGTGCGAGGATCCCTTCGCTCCTGCGGTTTCCTTCCACATCTGCGGTCATCTTCTTCGCTTCTTCACTTGCGCAGATGCGGCCAACACTCCACACCCGTGGTCCTTCCCCTGACTGCCTAACCCCGCATCTGCGACTCCCAGGCCGCACCTGCAGCTCCGCACCTGCGGCCAAAACCTCGCAGGTGTGGTTACACCAGATATTAGCTGCCTCATCTTTTCTTTCAAGTCCAAACTCGATCCGTTAACCACCCGTAATCCACCCGGGACCCCGTCCAATCATACCAACCAGTTCCAAAATATAATGCGGACCTGCTCGAGGCCTCAAATCACATCATACAACGCTAATACCATGAATCACACTCCAATTCAAGCTTTGTGAACTTTAGAACTTCAAACTTCATCATTCGGTGCCGAACCCTATCAAATCATGCCCGATTGACCTCAAATTTTGCACACAAGTCAAATTTGACATTACGGACCTACTCCAACATCCGAAATCAGATTTCGACCCCGATATCACTTCCGGTCCAACTTCTCAAAAACCTTCAAATTTCTAACTTTTGACAAACGACTCTGAAATGGCCTACAAACCTCCAAATCCACATCCGGACGCGCTTCCAATACCAGAATCACCATACGAAGCTACTCCCAGACTAGGAATCCCAAACAGACATTGATAACATTGAAATGCACTTCGATCCAAATTTATGAATTTCTTCCAAAATGCCAACTTCCACAATAGATGCCGAAATGCTCCCGGGTCATTCAAAACCCGATCCGAACATACGTCCAAGTCCAAAACTCCTATAAGGATAACTACTGATGTTGTTAAGGTAAAAGTGAAAAGGCCTTTTAGGTTACTATCTATAGTGATGCAGCTACAAGAGTATAAAGAAGTAGTTCAGGCTACTTGGAGTCAACAGATTCAAGGTCATACAATGTATTCAATTTGGAGGAAGTTGAAGTTAGTAGAACTACAAACTAGGGGCCTTCAGCAGGAACACTCCTCAGTTGATCAAAAGCTAATTCAACTGAGAGACACATTGAAGGAGGTGCAGGGGAAGCTCAATGAAGAATATTTCAACAAGTTACTAATAGAAGAGGAAAGGAAGACCTTGTCACTTATAGAGAAATGGGAAGCAGCTCAGTAACAGATAATGAGGAAGAAGTCAAGGGCCACATGGATCAAACTAGGGGACTGCAATACTAAATATTTTCATGCTTACATGAGAGCCAGACAAGCAAGAAACAAGGTTAGCTGCATCTATAATGAACAACAGATAAAGTTCACTGAGCCTAAGCAGATACAGAAGGAATTTACTCTGTTCTTTCAACAATTACTGGGTAAAGCAGCAGATGAATTGCCAGGAATTGATGTTAATATAGCAAGAAATGGTCCTTGTCTAACCCTGAATCAGCAACAACAATTGTTACAGCATATCATACTAGTGGAAATAAGCCAGATTGTGCAAAGTCTCCCTAGTGACAAGGCACCTTGTATTGATGGATACCCTGCTGAATTCTTTAGAGAATTTTGGCCAACCATTGGAGGGGAAGTCATAGAAGAAGTACAAAAATTCTTTGAAACTAGCAGATTACTGAAAGAAATGAACTGCACAACAGTTACTTTGATTCCCAAGGTTCAGAATCCTACTTATGTGAAGGAGTTTAGGCCTATTGCTTGTTGTTCTACACTGTACAAGATCATTGCTAAGGTACTTACAACTAGGCTTAAACTAATTATTGATTTATTGGTGGGTCCTTCACAATCTGCCTTCATAGAAGGGAGAAACATCCTTGATAATGTTATAATGGCTCATGAACTGATTAAAGGTTACACACAAAAGGCAGTTTCTCCTAGATGCATAATTAAGGTAGATATCAAAAAAGCATATGACTCAGTCGAATGGAGTTTCTTGAGATCAATACTGCTTGAGTTTGGGATACCATATAATATGGTAACATTAATCTTGGAGTGTGTAACTACTGTTAGTTATACATTACTATTGAATGGTGGACTAACTGACAGATTTGAAGCAAGGAAGGGGCTAAGGCAGGGAGACCCAATGTCTCCATATTTGTTTGTGCTGGCAATGGAGTACCTAAACAGATCCTTGAAGACACTCATTCAGAATTCTGATTTTAACTTCCATCCTAAATGTGCCAGATTGCAAGTCCTACACATCTGCTTTGTAGATGATCTACTGATGTGTTGTAGAGCAGATGAAGTATCCATGAAACTAATGATGGGAGCTTTTGATCACTTTTCTACTATTTCTGGGCAACAAGCAAATCTGGAAAAGAGTTCATTATATATAGCAGGAGTGCCTATAGACTTCAAAGATAAAATGCTTGCAGAGTTACATTTAACAGTTGTCAATCTACCATTTAAGTACTTGGGAGTTCCTTTATCCACAAGGAAACTCACTATTCATCAATGCATGCCACTAGTTGAGAAGATTGTTGATAGGATCAGAAGCTGGACATCAAAGTTTCTGTCCTATGCTGGAAGATTACAACTCATTAAGAGTGTCCTGTTTGAAACGCAAACCTATTGGGCACAGGTATTCCTTATTCCAAAGAAAGTCATTAAGCTTGTCAATTGTATATGCAGGAGCTACTTATGGACTGGAAGACATGATAATGCTCATAGAACTCCTATTGCTTGGGAAACACTGTGTAAACCAAGAGTTGCTGGGGGTATGAATATTATCAATTATGAGATATGCAATAAGGCTGCTCTGACTAAACTCATATGGGCTATAATGGCAAAGAAGTATAAGCTATGGATTAGATGGAGCCATAGTCATTATATAAAACAAAAGGATATTACTACCATGGATGCTCCAATGTAGGCTAGCTGGTTGGTAAGGAAACTATTCACTACTAGAGAATGGTGGGCTAATGACTTAAGAGTCATAGAGTCATTTGCACTGAATGGAAAATCCAGTATTAAGAAGGCCTATCTACATGCTCTTCCAAGGTATCCTAAAGCCCAAATGGAAATCACTAGTCATGTTGACTGGAATTCTGCCAAAGCATCAATTCATTTTATGGATGGCAATACAAAGAAGGCTGGCTACTGTTGACATATTGGCAAAGTGGAGAATTCAGGTGCCTCAATCATGTGTATTATGTGAAAGAGATATAGAAGAAACACATGATCACTTATTTTTTGAATGTACATACTCACAAAGCTTATGGAAAGGAATGCTAGGATGGTTAAGATATCAAAGAAGTGTTGCAAACTGGGAAGATGAGTTGAAGTGGTTATCTGCCAATGCTAACAATAGGAACCCAAGGAAGACAATTCTAGGAGTGGTGTTTGCAGCAACAGTGTACCATATCTGGATGGAACGCAATGATAGAAGATTTCAGAACCAGAAAAGAGAGGCTAAAGATAGAGCTAAAGACATTACCATCCAAGTGCACATAACAGGGCAATAGAAATGTAAATGGGAACCTGTATTGGTTACATTAAATAGTTATCCTAATTGTAATACATAGCAAGTAGGATAGAGGAAGATCCACGATTGTTAGTAGTGGTCTTGTTAGACAACCTCTTGGTTGTATAGCTTCTTATTTTATTGGTTTAGTCATGAGACTTGTTATTGGAGTCCAAAAGTGCAGGTGATGTAAATTTGAAAATCTGGTTGAAATAAAAAATTTCTTTCGACCAAAATAAAAAGAAATAAGGAATAGCTTGATTTAGAGAAGGCTTTTGATCATGTCAATTGGGATTGCTTATTGAATTGTTAAAACTGATGAATTTTGGTGAAAAATGATTGGAATGGATAAGATTTTGCATTTCATCGGTGAAATTTTCCGTTTTAATTAATGGAAATCCACAAGGCTTTTTCAACTCTCACAGAGGTATCAGGCAAGGAGATCCCCTTTCACCCTATGTATTTGTCTTGGTAATGGAAATCCTTAGCAGTATGCTGAGGAAAGCAGAAGCTCTGGGATGGATTAGAGGTCTCAGAATTGGAAAGAATGATCAGAAAGGAATGATACTTAATCATATCCTCTATGCTGATGACTCTCTCCTGTTTTGTGAAGCTGAGAGAGTACAAATCCTGTATTTGAGAGGGGTGCTACTATGTTTTGAGGCAATCACTGGATTAAAAGTAAATTTGGCTAAAAGTAGCATTTTTAGTATAAATGTTGATGAGTGTGTATGTAACGACCCGGCCGGTCGTTTCGAGAATTTATAGTCTCGTCTCCCCCATTTCTGCTTCTTTATATGTTGTTCAGCTTTATTATGTTGCATAGGGTTGATTGGTTCGGGTTCGGAGTGGTTTTGGAGTTGGATGAGACACTTAGTCTCTTAATTTGAAAATTTAGTTGGTAAAGTCATCCGGAAGGTGACATATGAGCAAACGATCTCAGATTAGGGTTTTTATGGTTCGGATAGCTCCGTTAGGTAATTTTGGACTTCAGAGTGTGTTCGGGATATAATTTGGAGGTCCGTGGTAGAATTAGACTTGAATTGGCAAAATTGGAAATTTAGGGATTTCCGGTCGGCAGTGGAAAATTAGATATCGGGGTCGGAATGGAATTCCAAATGTTGGAGTAGGTTCATAGTGTTATTTTTGACGTGCGTGCAAAAGTTTAGGTTATTCGGACGTGGTTTGGTAGGTTTCGGCATCGTTGGCGAATTTTGAAAGTTTGAAAATCCTTAGGCTTGAATTCGGGGTTGATTCGGTGTTTTGATGTTGTTTTAGGTGTTCCGAAGGTTCGACTAAGTTTGTATAATGCTATGTGACCTATTGGTATTGTTGGTTGAGGTCCTGAGGGTCTCGGGATGATTTCGGATGGTTAACGAGAAGTTTGAAAATGGAAGAAAGCAGTTGGTGCTGCTGTTTCTCGTGTTCCGCACCTGCGGAAGGGGGAGCGCAGGTGCGGTGGTCGCTGGTGCGGTGAAGCACTACAGATGCGGAAGTGGACGCAGGAACGGAAGATTGGATCGCATCTGCGGGACTGCAGGTGCGAGGATGCGGTCGCAGATGCGGGGTCTCGAGACATTAGTGAAATCCGCACCTGCGATGGGATTTCCACAGGTGCGGCATCGCAGATGCGACTGAGGGACCGCAGGTGGGTAAATGCTAAACAAAAAGTATAAATTGTGGACTTGCGAATTTTGGACATTTCATCGCATTTCTCACTCGGTTTTTGGAGCTTTTGGAGGGTTTTGAAGAGGGAATCAAGGGGAAATTCATTGAGGTAAGATATTTGAACTTAATACTTGTAACTATGATGAATTTCAGTTGTTTAAGCATGAAAATTGTAGAAATTAGGGATGAAATTTGGGGAAATTAGGGCTTGGAATTAGAGAGTTTAATTTGAGGAATTGAGGGGTCAAACGAGGTCGGATATTGGTAAATTTGGTATGGATGAACTAGTGAGTGAAAGAGGTTTCTAGTTTTGTGATCTTTGTTGGATTCCGAGGCGTGGGCCCGGGGGTCGGGTTTGGCCAATTTCGGGATTTGTGGTTTAATTTGATAATTTTCATATGGGCTTTGTTCCTTTAGCGTATATTATTGATAATATACTGATTTTGGATAGATTCGGAGTGTTTGGTGGCCGAGTCGAGCGGCAAGGGCATTGCGGAGTAGTGTTTTGGCTTAATTGAGGTAAGTAACGCTTCCAAACTTGGTTCTGAGGGTTCGAAACCCCGAACTACATGTTATTTGATTAGTATTGAGGTGACACACATGCCAAGTGACGGGCGTGCGGGCGTGCACCGTAAGAATTGTGGCCTAGTGCATCCCATGGCACCGCTTAGTGATTCTTTCTTGTTGCTATCCGTGTTTCTATTATATGATTAAGCAAATGTGTTGTAAATCATGCTAGATATCATGTTAGGGCTTCATGCTGATACTGTTGGGACCCAAGTGGTCGTTTCTGGCCGTCATCTCATTAGCTTTATTGATATTATGTACTCAGTCTTGATCATGCATATCATATCATGTCTCAGTCTCAGATATTACTGTTTGGCACATCATATTATTGCTTCGGACTAGTTCCATGGCATTGTGAGTCCGTGTGTGTGAGACTGGAGAGTGATGACTGAGTGAGGCCGAGAGCCTGATGATGAGTGACGGTTATGGGATCGGGCTGCATGCCGCAACGGATATGTTGATGATTATGATAGCACTTGTGTTGTAGGAGCCCCTCCGGAGTCTGTAACACACCCCCAGTGAGCGCAGATGATATTATTGAGGGATGAATTTCCCTGGGCATGGATTTGTCCGAAGTATTATTTAGGGATGGATTTCCCTGGACATGGATTTGTCCGAAGTGTTGATACCTGGAGATGGATTTCTCCGCAGGGTTGGATCACCCTTTTTCCTCGGTACCGAGTGACTACATAGTCAGCATCGAGTATGTTCCGGGATGGATTTCCCTCGGCCGGATGGCCATATGCGGTACCGAGTAGTTGTGCACTTGAGAGTGGAAGTACATGGTACATTTCATACATACTGTGCATTGGCACTTAGAGACATGCTGAGCTTATTATTGTTACACTGTTCAGATTTGCATTTGTTTTACTTACTGTGCTGAACACTTGAATAGAAAGCATGCCTACTTTACTGTACGATTTTACATTTTTATAATTGTTGAGGTTTAGTCCGTCCCTACCTCTCAGCCCATAGTTTGGGCTTGTTACTTACTGAGTTGGTGTACTCACGTTACTCCTTGTACCTTGTGTGCAGATCTAGGTACCTCAGGCCCTGGTAGCAGTTGTTGACCATTTTAGCGCGGAGCCTCAGTCGAAGATTGCGAGGTAGCTGTCTGGCGATCGCAGCCTCGTCTTCTCCTTCCTTATCTTCCCTTTAGCATATTTTGTTTATTTCCAGACAATTGTCGTCTTATTGTATTTCAGATTTGTAGTAGTATTGGCTCGTGACTTAGTGACACCTGGTGTTGGGATTTTATTTCAGTATTTTTGGTTTGGATTTAACTCTTTTAATTAGAAAATTCTGTGGGAAAAGATTATTATTATTTAAATGTTTTACGAAAATCGAATTGTTTGAAATTGTGAGGCTTGCCTAGTTCCACGATACCATTACGACCGGGGTGGTTTGGGGTCGTGACAGTGTAGAGGAGTTGGCAGAGATTATGGGTTGTAAAGTAGAAAATTTCCCTACTGTCTATTTGGGGTTACCTTCAGGGGAAAAGAGAAAGGATAAAAATATTTGGCAAGGTGTCATTGAAAGGTGCAATAATAAACTTACTCTATGGAAGAAGCAATACTTATCTATTGGGGGCAGGCTAAATAGTGTCTTGGATGGGATACCCACATACACCATGTCTTTATTTAGTATGCCTAAAGCAGTAGAAAAAGAAATTAGGTTCTGTAAGAAGGAACTTTTTGTGGGATGGAAGCTCAGAAAAGAAGAAGACACATCTGGTTAAATGGCAAATGGTTATTGAAGATAAAAAGAGAGGTGGACTAGGAGTGAGGAATCTGAAATTACACAATAAAAGCTTACTATTTAAATGGCTAAGGAGATATAGTAGAGAGGGTGACGAGTTTTGGCAGAAAATAATAGATGCCATTTATGGTGCAAAGATTGGGTGGAAACAAATTCCTTCCCAATTGAGAAGTTGTGGCGGGATTTGAAAAATGATTGGTGGCTGGTGGGACGAATTTTTACAACATACTAGTTTGGAGGTGGGAAATGGTGGTAGGATTAAATTTTGGCCGGATAATTGGTGTGGTAATGAGAGCTTTAAAAGCAGATTTCCGGATCTATTTAATTGTGCATTGAATAAAGAGGACTATGTTGCAGGTTTTAAAGCAGAATCAGGATGGAATGTTACTTTCAGAAGAAATCTGAACGACTGGGAAGTAGATAGTTTCTGTGAACTGCTCCAACTTCTGAATTCATTTTCAATAGATCAACACAAAATATATAGGCTAATTTGGATCGACAGTAGGGATAATATATCCACAGTGAATAATTGTTACAAAAGGCTGCAACAACAAACTAGTCAGGAAACTCTAAACTGGCCTTGAAAGATGATTTGGAGAACTAAAGCACCTATGAAAGCAGCTTATTTTGGTTGGCAGCAGTTAGGAACGCCTGTCATACTCAGCTTAAGTTACAGAGGAGAGGGTTTTCTCTGTGCAGTAGATGTTATTTTTGCAACTCAGAGGAGGAAATAGTTGAGCATCTCTTCTTGCATTGCAAATTTTCAAGACAATGCTGGGAATTTTTCTTGAACATAATGGGCATATCTTTGGTTCTACCTCAGAAGATTAGTAGCTTGCTGGAAATGTGGCGATCCCAGAGAGTAAAAAGAAGCTTAAAGCTAATATGGAAAACTATTCCCAACTGCATAATGTGGACATTATGGCTGGAGCGAAATAAAGCATGCTTTGAGGGAAAAACAAATGTATCAAAAAATTATATTTCTGGTGTTATAGCGGTTCTTTAGAT